GATGAAGAGAATGAGGTGATGGTTTGTTGATGTTATGGAAGAGTTCAGGTCCTCTTTATCTTTCTTTATTCATTGATTTATACTGCATTCCTTTAGTCTGAAGATCTTGTTAGGTCCCAATTTGTGTTAATAATATGAAAATTACCATTCTGCAACTTCCCAATACTATACGACTCTGCAATAAACTTCATCCACCATGCATACATACATACATACATACATATATGCACTAAGACATGCATTGTTTATCAGCACGAGAATCCTGTCTTGATCTAATATTTCTACCTACTAAAAGAAAGAACAATCCCCACCTCTTTTTTTGAGGTGTGATTTCTGTTTGAAAACTATACAGTCATCCAAAACCCCAAAGGTTAATAATGATCATTCATTCATGCCAACATAGGAGCAAGATGGTGCACCTCCATACGATATAAAACCTAGCCCTCTGCTCTCTGATTTGCTTGGAACACCTCTGCCATGACCGGACCTTCAAATTCCTCATCGAAAACGAGCGTTCTGCCGTATACAACAACAGTAACAGAAATGAATCAAGGGAAAAAGCAGAGCACCTGAAGAGTTCCTTGTTTGGTAATATATAAGTGCATGAAGTTTCAGGTTTTTTATAGGAAGAAGCAGTTGGAGATTATGTGGTAGGTGACAATGGCCCCCACTGGTTCTGTCATTGGCGTTGGCAGGCGCCCACTTGTTTTCTCAGTGAAGAAGACAAAGGGCAAAACGGGGGTGGTGTATTAGATTGTCTTGTGTGCTTGCCAAACTAGTATTGAAAATGACTTGCCGATGACATCAGCTTCTTTTCTGAAGGAAGAAGGGTCAGTCATCTCTATCTCCCGTGCATTATCCCGTCATTCATGCAGTTGTTAGGTTTACCCCAATCAATAGGAAATTGTTAGTAACCACAGTTAATGGACGCAATTAAAAATGTGATAAAAGATATAATATAATATTTTTTATTCAACAATAAAAGTTAAAATATTTAACATTTTAGGTTACTTTTAATCGAAAATATTATAATTTTTATCACATTTTCAGCTGCGTTCCTTTTCCGCCATTCCTTAATAGAAAAATGTTAGGAAAAATTAACATTTTCAGTTACGATCTTTACTTTATTAAATGAATGAGAATTCACAAACTTTTTTTTTGAATAAATCTAAAAATCTCAATAATTTTTAATTAAATTATATATATTTTTAGGTTAGAGGACACAAGGAAATGCTAGGTACTAATTATTCAAGTAAATGCTTTAATGCAACTAATTTTGGATTTTATATTATTTTAAAAATGGTTAATAACTCGAAATGAGAAAAGCAAAGTATAGTTTAATTATGTATTAATACCAAAATAAGTGCTGAAACTATAATGTTTTTCCCAAATAGGTGTCTAATTTTTTTTGACTCATCTATGTGTCTAACGTTACAAACATTACCCATTTAGGTGCTCAGACCGTCAATTGCGTTAATTTTCCCTGTTAAGTGATATGTGTCACAATCAGGGAGTTTGAAATTTATTCTTTAAGAAAATATTAAAAATATTATGATATAAAAACAACTAAATTTTTTATATTATAAAGCAACCCTAAATCCCAAATCCTAACTTTAATCTATCGCCGCCACCCTTTCTGACCACAACCACTGAATTATCCGAAACTTTAAATATTTAATATATTATTTATATATTAATAGCTTTAGATGTTCAAATATATATATATATTAATAGCTTTAGGAGTGTTTAAGCTTTGGTTTTAACCGAATTAATCGATCGAATTAACCGACTGAACTAAACGAACTAGCCGAAAATATTTAATACATAATATATATTATTTAAAGTTTCAATTAATATGGTTAACCGACTGATTAACCGAACTTTGTTCGGTTCAATTAATTATTTCTGAAAAAAATTCGGTTCAAGTTAGAGCGAAAAGAATTTCAGTTAATGAAATTTTAAAAGTTCGATTTGATCGGTTAACCGACCAATTGAACACTCCTACTAAATTAAACTAGATTTTGATCCTAGTGGGCCGAGCCATGCCACGTCTGTGATCTTTATTGAACTTGGTAGCAGTACACTTGTAACCGAAATAATTTAGGCCAATAATAAAATTACGCCTAACATTAGTACAAATACTACAAATAGTCACTTTGTGTGTCGGGGAACACTTCAGTCTTTAATGTTTTATTTGTACCCTAGTTAAATAAAAAAACGTTTGTTGATTAATAGTCAATGCTGCATACTTATGTGGTATATCCAGTGGCGGAGCTTTCTTGGGATACAAAGAGCCCCGACTCCTTTATATTTTTTTATTTGATATATTTTGATATAATAGTATTTTAGTTTATGTAAAAGTAAGTATTTAAATTTAAAAAATATGAGAATTTATTAAATATTCAATCAAGTAATGGTCAAACTAAATAATGATAATCTTATGTTATCAATTTTTCTTATTTAATAACAATTTAAATCATTACGAGTTTAAATATTAGACAAATTAAAAATTAACTTATGAAACTTAACTTTAAATACCTAATATGTCATTGTATTTTTTCTTGAAATGTTTAATATTTTGAATCCAGCCAATAATAATCTTGACTCCGTCCCTAGAAATATCCACGTATAATATCACGTCAACAAAATTTATTTTTCAAATCTGATCAAATCAATTATTTTTTCTTCTAATTTTAAACTCGATTTGACCTAACCCAAACTCGTTTTATTTAATAAAATCCTAACCTAAACAAATTAAATTAGATCGTTTGAGTACCCTATCCATCAAGATATCCAAAGATGGTGGTCCACATTCGAGTTTATATTTGCCACGTGTCCCGACATGACATCAGCACTACCTGGGCGATACGCTCTACGACAAATCCCAGATCTTGTCTTCATCCCACTACTCTTCTCCACGCAAACTGCTTCTGATTTTCGGATTAAACGCGTTTCCCTCATTACTTTAATTACCGACTCTTTACGTTTCAAAAGTCAACACTCTCTGTTAATTTTCTAAAAGGTCCTTGTGCTATCCATTTTCTACGAATTTGGCCCATCTATTATAATTTCATCACTTCTATTTATTTCACTTTTTGAAAAATGTTTATTCCCCATAGTCAAATTAATTTTTAAATCTCGTCGAATAAGTAGATTTATATGCACTTTGATTGGGTAAGAATTACGAATGATTCCTCGACCATAGGGTATTGTTTTATTAAGTCCATTGACTATTAAAAGTTATAAAATGATCCTTTAACTATAGAGTGCTTTTTGTTGAGTCCCTCGACTATCAAAAGTTACAAAATGATCACCCGACTATTCATTATGTTACAAAATCGTCATTTTCCTTTGAAAAATTGACGATGTTCTAAGATGAATATTAAGTTACTGACTGCGATATGATAAAATCTGATCTCAGAATCTGAAACAACCATCGTATCCTTGTCATCATGTTAACGTCCTATTAGACAACCACTAATTTTTAACGAAAAATGACGAGTTTAGAACATAATAAATAGTCAGGTGACAATTTTGTAACTTTTGATAGTCGAGAAACTCAACAAAGTAACACTATATAATCGTAGGATTGTTTTGTAATTTCTAATAATAAAATAATTTAATAAAATAATACTCAATAATTGAAAACCGTTCCTGTACTTTACCCAATAAAGTACACTTTTTAAAAGGAAAACATATGATATTTGTATTATTTTAAAAAATACTAAAACATATGTGCCACGTCGAGGCATGCTATAAACCACAAATTATTTGACAAAATTATCCCCAAATAATTCAAGATAAAAAATACATGTTTCAAAGGTAGAGACTGTATAAATAATCATTGAAAAAATGAATATAAATATGCCAAAATGCATAATAAAGGAACTATTATAAATTTTATTTATTTACTTTAAAATTAATTATTTTTTTATTTTTAAAATATACAAAGATAATTTTAACACGATTGTTAGTTGATGTATTTTATGAATTATATATAAATTTCAATATTTAATTTGTCATTATTAAATAATTATCGTTGCTCAATCATTAGAGTGCAGATGCTGATAATTTTAGTGAGCAGACACAAATATCTGGGAATATAATATACATTTCACTATCCGATTGTCAATTTGATGTAAAGAACAAGATTTTTGTTGTTTGAGGCTGGCACGTGGCAACCTCTCAATGACTTTGTTCAATCATTTAATAAACAATTCATCGTATGATTATATATTCTATGTTCGATTTATATTGATTAAAGAATTTAAAATTATTTATACGAATTAATTTATCTCAGTGATTAAAAAAATTGTTATTATTTTTAAAAGTTACTAGTTCGAGCTCCAACGATTACAGCAAGGTGATTAAACGATGAATATTAAATAATTAAAAATATTTAAAATATATACTACTTTGTAATCACGTTAGTTTGATAAAAAAAATTAAAATTAATTTGTTTAAATTGTTATTCCTTTCCTAATTACGGATAAACTAACGCTATCCTTATTCCTATCCATTACATTACACCTTCGATTGTTTCATACTCTACTCCTACAGACCCGGGCCCACGTGCTCAAACGTCAAACCAAGCTTTTTCAGCATGACACCTGTTGTTTGTACATCGTTCCACGTGTATCGGCACCACTCGGGCTCAGATGTGTCAGATTTCTTATTCGCACTCGCGTCCCGTACTCGCCTTTCCATCGAACACGTGGAGTCCTCTAGATATTTTCGAGCCACAAAAAAGATATTTTGTATCACGCGGTCTCCACGACACGTAGCGTGCCTTACGTACGTTTGATTCCCCATCACGGCTTTTGGTCCAACATATTGTGAACACGCGTCCACCATTTCTCCAATTGTGGCGCACCACGTGTTATGAGAATATAGAACAGTGGATCACCAATTTAGTGAGAGACACGTGTCCCTCTATTTAGAGTTTCGGGCATCTGGTATTTAGACATGACACCAACGCTGTCTGGATCGGTCTAGTTTTTCTGTGTTCCATCGAAGTGGAGTTATGAGTCCCGCCCAGATGCGCAGACTTAATGAAGAATCCGAGTTCGATGACTCGGGGATACTAAACGAGCGGATCCTCCTGCTCGTCTTCGAGTGGATAAAATGGGATTTACAGGTCCTTTGTTTATTTTCTTCTGTGAACCACAAGCTTCGAGCTATAGCGAAGCGGATACTATGGCGGAAGCTCTGCGTGTATCGAGCGCCGCGAATGGTAACGGCATTGGCAAACGCTGCCCCTAATGGAAGAATTGGCGGTGGATGGGATTCTCTAGCAAAGCTCATGTTTTTCTGCTGTGGATGTGAGTCGACTCGTCATTTCAAGGTGAGTCGGCCTAATCCGGGTCATTTCACCCAATCTTCTCGGTTTTCCAAAACCTCGGGTCGGAGCTTCTTGGCGAAGAAGTGTCGGGGTGATTTGTTGTTCATAAGCGATCCCTGCGAGCACCCAATGGGGGTTGAAGAAGATCATTTGGGGATATACCGAGGGGTATTTCGGGGATTCACGAGATCCAATATGAGGGCTTGCATGATCAGACGGCAAGTAGCGTTCGACGAGAGGGTGAGGTGCCCTTATTGCGGGACGCGTGTCTGGAGCATGACGGCGGCTCGGCTCGTCCCCAAGAGCGCGGCTAAACGGCTCGGCTCGGGCGACCGACAGGTGGAGTATTTCGTTTGTGTGAACGGGCACTTGCATGGGGCTTGCTGGCTCGTACCTCTGTCGTCGGATGAAGAAATTTGCGACAATGATGATGATAGTGAAGATCTGGACGGTGACGATGAGATCGGCGGGGACGCGTGTAGCCATCAGACGGTGACAACCGGAAGCACGAGCTCGTTAGGGGAAGATATTATAGGAGGTGAACCCATCGATTAATTGCTACTATTTATTGGTTTTCATGATTTTTCTATCTTTTTTTTAATGTAAAATATGACGTGTCGAGGTAGGAGTTAGGATGTTTAAAAGTTTGAGGATCATAGTCTGAGGACGATTAGTGTAATTAACTCTTATTTTAATTATTAAACTTTAAAAAATAAGATAATTAAGAGTTAATTTAATTGTTAAACTTTAAAAAATAAGATAATTAAACTAGTCATTCAAACACAATTCAATGAAATGTAATATACTTTAAAAAATAATTTAAGCAAATAATGGAGCAAAGATATAAAAATGTTAGGGACCAAATTTACCACAGAAGTGTTCTCAAGCCTTGTTTTGTCTCTTCAATTCCTGTCTGAACCATTCAATTAATCTTTTACAATGAATCTGCTTAGTAGCGTGAATATCAAGTTACAAAACAGATTGTTGCCTTACCTGCAAGCAGGGATTCAAATAGGCGTCGTGTTTTTGGTCATGTCCTGTTTACGGTGATTGTGGTCATAGCAGGCGTTATTACGAGTATAGCGGGAATATCGGAAGGCATTGTTATCGTTATTTCGTGGGCGCGGTCGCGGAGGGCTATTTAAAACTCTGCCTCCAAGTAAGGGATTAGACGAAAGTTCAAGCTCCGATTTGAATAATCAATTCAGCAGCTGCGCTCATCGCTCTGACACCGCCTAGTCCCGAGCAAGGCCATGGCAAGTTCTTCCTTGTTCCACCGCATCAATCCGTAGCTCAGCCGTTTCAAGACATCAGCATCGACATCCAGAACCCACATCTGGGTGCAACCTACCATCAAGCTAACAAACCAGACTATGTATGAACGCCAAGTAGCATAATTGCATCTGAGCGATATTTTACAGTCTACCGCGCTTGCAAGAAACTCCAAAGTGCGATCTGAGGACCTTAGGCCGTCGTTTCGATGCTGGTGAGGCCAAGTCCACGCCCCATGCAAATGTACCACAAAGCACTACAAAGTATGCAAGTGCATAGCCCCTCAGCATGGCAACTACACCTTTAGGTTCCCTGTGATCATGGTCTGGTGAATGGGATGATATAAACCAAGAAGGTAGTGTTTCTTTGATCAGTGGTTGAACCAAGCTTAATCCACCGGAGAGCCAGACCAACGAAGCACGGAGCAATGCAGCTAGTTTGACACGTTCCATTGCTGCACCGAGTGAAACTTGTCCATATGAAAGTCCGAACTTGGTTGTTTTCAATTTCTCCATAGAGAACACACTACTGGCATTGTCTCTTACAGAAGACATTAGAAGAGAGAATTTCTTCTGTCATGAACACGATATCTCTGATTGATTGATGCACTCGTAAAGAATCACTGGGGAGACCGGAGACATTCCCCCGGAGAAATGAGAGCCGAATCCATGGCCCAGGAATGCTCCCACTCCACCGTTGCTGTAAATGGTGGAGGGGTTTAGTCCAAGAGTAGAGGTGAAACAACTCCTAAGAAGCTGAACTACGGCATCACTACTGTGGTGGAAGACGGTTTGAGAAGCGGAGAACACAAGGAAATCGTTCCAACGCTTAAACTTCTGAGTCCACAGTGAGGCTATGATGGGCATGCAAGGCCAGGGGCAATCTTCGGCCAGGGAATTCAATGCTGGGTCAATTAGTACAAGGAAACGTTCAGAGGCTTTTTCGAGTTTATATGTTATGGTGAGACTCACAAGGGCAGCCAAGGGCAGAGGAAGCATAGCCGGAGAACTCCCCCTGCAATCAATAAAACCGAAAGAGGAATGATGAGACAAAATATTAGCTAACATGTTTCATTGCCTACAAACAAAAATCTGGGAAGTGGTCTCAAATATAATGGTACAAGAGCATACCTATGGTAAGGCTTGAGACATCAACACCAGTGGCAGCTATAACTTTGTTAATTTGCTGCTCGATGGTGGATAAACTTGTGGCTGGACTTGGCCAATCTGATCCATTCATGAACGCTGGCTTCCATGTACCTACGGTTACTTCAGCAGAAAGATAGCTGACAATGGTTGCCAGAGTTGCCGGTAGGAAATCAGCAAGATCTTTGAGTCCTGTGGTAGAGGGCCAATTAAAAGATCACATTGACCCCAACAGATCAGGAAGAAGCATCTATTAGTCACTTCCTCACAAAGCTCTTTGATGTACTATTACTCGTAGTTCATGATCTACCGACATATTTTTCATTTATATGCTTGCTTTTAATAAAGAAAAGGAAAGAGGACTAACCCGTTGCCAGTTCACGAGGCGAGAGTCTTCCATGGGCACAGGCTGTTAAGCTGCATCAAGCACATATGGAGTGGCTTCCAGGATATCCCATGCAGGAACTTGTAGTATTAAAGACATGTCCTCAGATCCAGATGTAGAAGAAGTATTACATCCAGACTGACCTCCCCTACTTATCTTTCGGAACATCATATTGAGTGTGTCGACAATCTGATGAACGGTCCCTTGTACAAGTCCTGACAGGGTAGAAGCAATACATTTCTGATGCTGTCGGTACCAGCCTTTCAACTTGGGAAAGGAATCCATAAATATGAGTTCCAAAGAGAAGTTTAAAATTTTCGATAGCCTTTTAAGTTTCAAACGATCCTTGGGGTATTTTCCAAAATCTGTTAATTTGGAGTTTCGAACCAACAACCGATATTCCGGAGTTCGTTGGGATCCCACCTGACCTGTGTTCCATCTCCAATCACATGTTAAAGAGGTGGATGATCAAACCTCCATAATCTCAGCAGAAGTGTAAATGCATTGGTGAATAATGCATGACTAGTCAGCTTTTCCCCTGTAGGAAGAGTCCATGAAACATCGGGAGCAGTTGTCCTGAAAACCTTGCAAAGGGGCATCAACATACCAGCAAGTATTGGAACCTGAAAAAAAAAACATCAAATAACATTAGTGCATGGATTATGGTCAAAAACTGAAAAGATGTCACTGAGTAGGATCTTTCAGCAAACTTGTATGAAAACTAGCTCCGTTGACCTTCTTTCAATTCATGACACAAGAATACACATATAAGCCAGTAGAAAGCATGGAACATCTAAAAAATCCTACCATGACATGTAAAGAGAAGGTCTGGACGCAATCTACCGATGATATTCCAACGAGAAGAACATTAGAAACTGGAGCATAACTGATCAAATAGCTCTCAGTATCAGAATAGTCTTAAGCTTATGTATTGAAGACGAGGATAGGGTCACAACAATTCACGGGCATGTCATTAATGCTCATGCACTCGTAGTATCCATTACCAACTGTGAAACCAGAAACAAACATGATTGCTTTGGCAGCAGCTTGATTGGCAGCTGAACGAACTGATTGAGGAGTCAATAAGGCCTCATAATCATTCAACATCCGTAAGCTGGAAACTAGATCCTTACGACATTTCCCAGGGGCTTGTTTCTCTTTTTTTTGGTTGGTTTGGCTGCAATCACTTTCATCAATGAATTCACATTCCTCTAACTCCTCCTCTACAATATTAGTCACCACAAGCGGAGTAATAGATAGTGCATGCACAAGCAGGTGTCGAGGCGAGGTATGGGACCCTCACTACTGTCCCTTTCCTATGAAGCAATAAAACAGGAAGGAAAGAAGGATTATCAGTTTAGGCACACGAAAATGTTGGACAAAGAGCTAGAAAGGAAAGGATGATCAGTTTAGACACAAGCCGAAAAGTTGCAGTCCATAGACCTAGAAATGTAGGTAAACAAGAGCTCAATCAAGTTTACACAAATTCTTACCCTTTGAACAAGCCTCAAAGCTGAGATCCATAGACCTAGAAACGTATCGTGCCATGTTGTACCATTGACAGTCTGTAAAGCTTTCACTAAGCCTGCAAGAATGACTCTCCCCAAGTAAAATGAACGACGAACTAGTACCTTCTCCGCTTCAAATAAAGCACTAAACTGTGCGTAAGGAAACCATTAACAAGTACCAGTAAGTCTTTCGGTAGCACCGGTTACAGCCACTTCTGATCCATCCATAGCATCCTCAAGAAACAAGTCAACAGGGAGCCAATGTGCTGAAGGACACGTTCCGTGACACCGACAGATGCATGTGTGAGAGACCTGGAGCCTATGACATTATTAAACTCTTGTTGTGATAATGTCTTGAGTTGCAATAGGCCATATCGATCTCTTCTCGGGGGTAAGTTCCAGTAACCCTTCATCATCCAATGATGCATCAAGCAGTTGTCATACGATCGAAAAAATCATAATAGATAAAAAAAAACATAGTATCATCTAGAAAAGATTACAATATTGATAAACAAAAAAAATAAATCTCATCATTTTTGATTTTTTATGAATGAATTTTACAGTATGATGATAATCTGTTTCGTATGAAATTTCTTTGTATTATTGTTTTTTAACATGATTGATATCATCATTATTTTCATAATCTCGACTTATGTCTAATATTGTCGACATTAACGTGTGTTATCGACTTCAATGATGATATATATGAACGGTAAAGAATAACGAATGTCGAGGAGTTTGATCAACATGTTAGGGACGAACTTAAACTTATAAAATTTTAGGGGATAAATTTGAAATTATAAAATTCTAGAGAAAAAATATATTTTTAATAAAAAGCATATAAAAATATAAAATATATGATAAATTTAAATTTTTAGGGGATAATCACTCCCACCCGCCCTACCTATGTCCATCCTTGATCCTCGAGATCTAAATCTGATAGAAAAAGAATATTTACATTAACTCGTTAGTTAATTCAACTGAAAATTTATTTATTCGAAAGTTGACTCAATTAAAAAATTTAAATCTTTTAATTCAACTCAACGTTATAGCATTTAATTTTAATTCACTCAACTCATAGTTTTATTCAAAATATTATATCAAAAGTTAATCATAAATGAGTGTTATATACTTATATGAGTAATTTTTTTATGTAGGTTATATCTAGATAAAAAAGGTAAATTATGTATTACTATTTAAATTATTAGTTTTAATATGTTATAGTACCTAAATTTTATTTTTTTTTAAATCATACATAACGTTTATTTTTTTTAATTTCATTTTAGTACTTTACCGTAAAAAATTTAACGCGTTTAATACATAAACTATCAGTTTTGACCCGTTTTATTATCTAAGCTTTCAATTATTTAAAAGTTAACGTTAAATTTTAAATAGTGATACTAAAATGAATCAAAAATTAAATTCTATATATGATTTTAATGAAAGAATCAAAAATTTAAATATTAAAATGGATAAAAACTGATAGTTTATATATTAAACACGTTATTTATCCAAAATATTATATCAAAAGTTAATCATGAGTGTTATATGAGATTTTTTATGTAGGTTATAACAAAGAAAAAAAAAGGAGAGTTTAGGGAGCAATAGTCTAATTTAAGACTGAGAAAATATGCAATCGAAAATATTATAAAAATTATAATATTTTAAATTAGATATAATTTAAAATATTAATTTTTTAATATTTATCGGTTGAAATTTTTTATAATATTTTCGATTCACAAAAAAAAAATATTACTTTATATAACATTTTCCACTCAAAATATTATAAAAACCAAAGGAAGCTGACTCCAGGAAGAATCCAAGATCAGAAACGGCGACTGCCACAGAAATCAAACCCACACAAATTCATCGAATCTCCCCATCTTAAAATCTTACCCTTCCTATCTTTTATAACCACACCTATAGGAACGATACTTATGAGGAAATCCAGGATTCTCAGTTCTAGAGACGGATAAGTCTTTGGCTCTGTAACAAAAAAGGGTTGAGAGTTTTTAGAAAACCGGGTTTCACTCCGTAAACCTATATGATGAAGCTTTGCTTGATGGCTTCTCACGGGTACCCTCAGGGCCCAGGGCTTGTTTTACACCAAGAGCAAGGCTTTAGGATCAAGGTAATTCCTTTTTTTGGTGTTGTTTTCTATGGTTTTGTTGATTTGGGGCACTTGAGATGTGTTGTTTCTTATGCTTGTTGAATTGTATTAAATTCTTCTTTGTTTAATCGAGTTGCTAGACTTTAATCACCCTGTCTAAAGGAGTTTTATCAAAATTCGTGCCTTGACATGTATATTTGATAAGAGAAACTGCTGGGATGCGCTCTTATCAATAAATTGCAATTTTTTTTCTTACTTTGCTACTTGTTATTGTGTGTTTTAGCTCTTTATCACTCGTTCTAGTACTAAATATTTTTGCTAAAAATGTATTTTTAGTTATTTTTTTTGTAATGATTGCTTATTGTTTGGACCGAAACAGGAGGGTGGTGGATCCTTGTTTCCAAGTCAGATGGTGAAACAAGACATGGTACAGATAGACTCCTTTGATCTGAGGAGCAGCAATTCCAGGAACTGCCAAAACCAGTTACTGCACTGTGTGAGCCTAAACTAATTATCGATGTCGATCCAACTGCACAAAAGCCTGTGATAATCAATAAACCAGGTCTGCAACTTGTTGCCTAGTTCCTTTTGATGGACTAATTATTTCTTTCTCCATGTAGGAAAAGAGACAAACCAATTATTGTTCTCAGAAACATGATAAAGAATTTGTGTTTATGTATGAAGTTTAGTTAACATGATAATTAACTTCTTGTTTCACCTCGGTGAGAGTTTGCTTAATTGAAACTCAGAGCTTTACCGTGCGCATGATTATGGAAGTTGATTTTTTTTAGGATAAATAAGAGTTGAAAGAGTTGCTCAACATGTCTTTGGTAGTCTTTGCAGAATGCTTATACTTTTCTTGTTTTGGTCGTAGATGCTTACCTAGACACGGAACTGCTTGGATTTGGGATAGCTGAAAAGTGCAGGAGACATGAAAAAATCTTGAAGTTTCTTATGTCTGGATCAAATGAACTAGAGAAAGGGGAACTTGATTTATCTTTGCTATCTGATTTGATGGGACTTCAACCGGTGATGTTTGGTGTGCGTCAACAGCCTTTTGATTCTTATCTAGTACATCCAATTAGCAAATTTGATCCCCAGATGCCTCTCCCAGACTTTTTCGGAGAAATAGTGCACAATTCGAAAGTTACAGTTAACCCAGATGGTCAAGTTGTGCGTACAGCTTGTGGGACTGAGATTAAAGACGTATATTCAATTGTTGCTGAGTTTTACTTATCAAGCAACTCAACTAAGTGGAGAACACAATCACAATTGGTCCCGTACTTCGATAGGTATGGAAACTACCACGGACTTCGTGGAGTACAAACAAATAAGTCTTGTTATGAGTGGAGCTATATTGCAGTATTTTGACCAGTATCGAAAAGTAAACATAGGATGAACATTATCTATTTTCATTGTTTGCATTTTTTATGTAATTACTTGATGATCTTAAACGGCTTATGTTCAATTGACTTGTGTGGTTTGAGGTTAACGAAATTTGCTGCTCAGGTTTAGTCTTGTTGGAATGTAAAACTATAAGTTGATTTCAATGTTTGAAAGACATCTGATGCTGAACTCTCTAACTAAACAGGAAACGGATCATGAAAGCACGTGCTGGTACTAACCTGTCTTCTCCACAGTGTGAAGTTGTGAGCATTGCACCTCCGAAAAGGTATGTGATCATCATTTTCAGGAATATTTCGATATGATAATGTGGAAATTGTCCACTGGTTATGGGACCTAAAATATGATTTGTTCTTATGCGTGATGAAAATGTAAACTTCTACAAAATCAGTTTTGGCATGTAAATTTTTTGTTCAGAATGTTTTTCTGTTTCTCGTATGCTCATGCTCCTCATTTTTGACAGTCCTGAGAAAATCAAGGTGAAGCCATTACCAAAGAAGACCTCTAAGAAGTTAGGCGGGGAGAGAGATCTGTACAAGAAGAACTATTTCCATGCATGTGAGTTTTTTTTTTGCTTGATGGTTGATAAGAGACAGAACGGCAGAACAGCAATTCTTTCTCTTAAGAAATCCTGTCCTGAACTTCCTCAGCTCTTGACCCAATTCTCTGCCGGCATTGCTGGGACTGGTCTCGCTGTCCTTTTCTATGTTATTTGTAAGGTAGTTTGTGGGGGAGTTCTATTTGTTACACCTAAAGTATTTAGCACTGGCCTCGCCTTTGGGCTAGTTTGGCTCTCACAGGCAGTTAACCGACTGAGGGACACAGTCATACACATCAGCAAGAATACTAGCAAGCCGGATATGAAGGAAGGGGAGATGATTAAGAGAGTGGAGAAAAGTGTTAATCAGATCTATTTCAGAGCTGCAATGGTGACGGCTTTAGCGGTGTCGAGGTTTGTATGAACATTGGCATCTAAAGCCGCGACATTGATCTTGGACGTCAATATCGGAAGAAAAGTGGCGGTCAGGGGGTCTTATGATGGCCTTGAGTACATATGAGAAGGATCTAATTCCTGCCGAAGGTGTATGTATATCAATCAATTAAGTTGTAAATGGAGAGGTCAGCTCCAAAGAGGGTTATTAGTACTACTGTCTTGGGGCTCCGTGCTAATTTAACTACAATTTTGTATCTGTACTTGAAGCTATCTTCAACTACTACAATAATTGGTATTTTGATTTATAGTAATTACTGTTGTGCACAAGATTGACGTGCAGAATACCTAGTTTACATGGCACTGTTCCACAGTACAATTATTTTAGATGACATTAACAAGCTCCTGTGATTTCTGGGTGGAAATGAAAAAAAAACATGCCCACTGCTTACAAACAACCGGAAATTGAATGACAATAATTTCACTAACACCCCTCATTTCATATCTAACAATCTTTTCAGTAACTCTACAACACAAGATATTTCTAACTGATTGTTCTACCAAAATTTTCACTCTGCAATCAACCTGATGCAAAGAACCACAGATAAACCAAAACGAAAACTTCTTAGCTCGGTACTTTCGATATGACACCAGCACCAACAGTTCTACCTCCTCTCAAGACAAATATTTGTCCTGTTACATTCATGTCAAGCTACATTTTAGGACTTGTTTTCTAAGCTTTCAAAAGTTTAAGAACATGGGGGGAAGAAAACCATCTTCCTGATATAATGATTTGTTATAATAACAGAGACAGGAATATTGTAGCATACCTGCTTCAAGAGGCACGGGTGAGATCAGCTCAAAAGTTGCAGTGACATTGTCCCCTGGCAGAACCATCTTAACACTTTCAGGTAATTCCACTTTTCCAGTGACATCTGCCGTCCTCAGATAAAACTGGGGCCTGTAATTTGATTCAAAGGCCGTATGACGTCCACCTTCATCTTTCGTGAGGACATATATCTCTGCCCCAAACCTTTTGTATGTCTTCAAGCTTCCAGGTTTGGCAATTACCTAAACAGTAGGAGGAAATCAGAGATATACGTAAATATATTCATTCAAAAGCTAATAATGAACATTACTGAAAAACTCTTCTCTCTTCTACATAAAATATTCCTCAGCATGAAAGATTGGAATCACCACAAGAAGTTCTATTTGTTGCTAAAGAACTAAGAGGATTTAAAGCAAAGTTTAGTTGGTGCCATTTACCATTCCACGCTGCACATCCTCTCTTTTTAGTCCACGAAGAAGAAGTCCGACATTGTCTCCAGCCTAGTAGTAAGAAGAATTCCAACGTGCAAGTCCAACATTGTCCCGCAATGTCACGCATAAATATAAAAATCAACACCAAATGTAGAAGAGTCTACAACAGTTCACTTACCTGTCCTTGATCCAAGATCTTCTTGAACATCTCAACCCCAGTAACTGTAGTTTTTAAAGGGGCACCCTGCAGAAGAAAGCTCAATTTTAAAATTAACAATTAAAGACATTTTACTAATATAAGTCAACAAAACACTTCAACAAACAACCCTTAACAAGCTGTCGTAATCAGAATAAGAATTCCAGAAGATTATAAGTCCAACAAATTTATCTCAAGCAAATTAATATATACTTCTTAGAAAATGAACAAAAATATCAGTATGCAAATATACCTGCGTTAACCCCAAAATTTCAACTTCTTCACCAACTTTGATGGTCCCTGCTTCAACGCGACCAGTAACAACTAGATTCTCCTACCATGTGCTCTCGAGTGTAAGGCTAATGCAAATGTTGATCTAAAAGATGCCCTTGAATAGGAGGGCAGAATATGACATTTAACTTCCACTAGAGCCCCATTAATACAAGAATCAAAGAGAACAGAGAGATGTGAAGGCTAAGTGATTCTCAAATGATGCAGCTAATAAATTTAGAAACCTAATGTCCAAGATCACATCAATATGTTAATATCAAGGTTAGTAAAATGGCCATAACTAGAGCAGTTTTAGTATGTACATAGATGCTTCAATTTCATTTCAATCAAGTGTCTAAAAAGTACACCAATCATAGAAGATATTTGCATTTCAAACAAAATGCGAAATGAATACAAGGAAAAAGAAACAGAAGAATACAATAAATTCTGAGAAATAATTTTTGTGAAACTTAACATTTTTCATCAAGCATTAACCGATATAAATAGGTATAAATCTGACCCGACTTGACCCCAAAATAGGTATCCTCCACCCGAATTCGACCCGACCCAAAAAATATATATCTTCTACCGACTCCGACCCAATTTTTTAGAGTATAAATCCGACCCGATCCGGTATAAATTAAGGATTTAATTAAAAAATAATAAATTTTTTAAAAGAAATTACATTATTATCCTCGAGTCGGGTCGGAGTTTTTTCACTCTCCACCCAAACTCGACCCGACCGCACCCCTTAAAAAATCTGACCCTACCCGACCTGATCTAAACCCAATATTTTTAATAAAGAAATACGATCTTATCTGGACGGGTCAAAACTTGTCGAATTCAGGTTAAATTGTCATGCTTAAGTGGGAGCGTTTAATGTTAAATATAACTTTTTTATCTATGATTTATATAAAAAGATCTTATTTGCTTGTAATAAAAGGTTTAAGTATAATTTTAACCCTTTACCATGTTGAAATGAGAAATTTAATCATTCTATTTAATTTTGTATAATTTGAATTTTATAATCTCATATCATATAACTTGGAATTTATTACTTTCACATATTTTCCTGATCTTCATTCAAGCAATGCTTTATAGAGACAATTCTTTCTTAGATAAACTACAAGTTTAGTACCTAAACTATTAATTTTAATCCATTTACTACTTAAACTTTTTTTTTTTTCAAAATCACACTTAACATTCAATTTTTATTTCATTTTAGTATCCACCGTTAGAAACTTAACACGTTTAATACTTAAACTTTCAATCTTTTCAAAACTTAACGTTAAATTTTAAATGAGATACTAAAATGAAACAAAAACTAAAGTTTTTAACGACGGTGTACTAAAATAAAACAAAAACTAAACTTTAAGTATGATTTTGAACAAATTGAAAGTTTAGATACCAAAATGGATCAAAACTGATAGTTTAGGTTATAAACGCAAATTTACCCTTCTTTCTTTGGGGCTTCGTGGAATGAAAGATAACATTTGATTATGAATGTGTAAACGACAAGAAAATAGAAAATGGATTCAGAATTCCAACGAGTGGAGAAAAACACAAAAGCTAAGCTGACTGTAATGTTTATGTAATTGTAATGTAATCTCGGCTCGAAAACGGGAAAGGCCCAATGGCAGTGTCCATGAAGTTCTACGGGAGGACGTCGGTCTTCGAAAATTAAACGATACGAACAGCGGAATAGATCGATTCTTTCACGTTGCACTCATCATAAAGGCTCTAGAACACTTGATCAATGAACATGATCTTCCACCTTGATGTTCGCATCGTAAAAGTTCATCATGAGGTTCTTGAAAGCACTGCTCATCCCAATAATATGGGAACTTCAACTTTGCTGCAGTGTGAGGCATGGACCAATCTTCATATATGAAACTAAAAGCAGATTTGAAACAAAAGAAAGAAAGCATCCTCAGCATTCATGAAAGAGAGAAGAAAGGGAAAGAATCACAAGGAATGCATTTCCGGTTCTTACGAGGAAATTTGTCGAAACTATACGGTTTTTGGGTTAAACGAAGAACCCCATCTTTCCCAGTAATGTTCTCTAGATTCTATTTCGCATATAGTAAACTTGAGCAACATCTTCAATCATGCAGGAGACATTATCAGATGGGATTTCAATCATGATGCATGTATGCTAAAATAGTCGTTCATTTTCTTAAACAATTAGTGACGGAAATGGATCATGTTCTGAGAAAGTATTGTGGATCGCGGTTTCGAGCCGCTTCTTCCTCTTAAATTAGTAAAGGATGGTTAAGTCTCAAGGCAAGTAAATTCCCATCTTGATGAACTCGGATATAGCAGCTTTAATGACTAAAAGATCAAGGCAAAGCCGTATTAGAATGGGTGCTTTCGGTTTGTTTATTTTAAAGGTTCAGAAGATGCCATTAGAAACTAGCATGCACTAACCACGAAAAGATTCGATGCAAAAGTGCCAGCCAACAAACATTTGGAAGGGTGAGGCCATAGACAGCATCTATGGCTTTCAACTCGACAATGAAAATATAATTAGACACCCATCAACAAATGGCAAAAATGATGAGGCTGGAGAAAAATTACATACATTTTGACAGGAGGCCGAGATATTATCACAAGAATCTGCAAATCCTCGTGTTCGTTTGTATTCCAGACCTGCAACGAAGATGACAAACAATTGAAAATCAATGAATGTCAGTGAAATACTAAAATTCATCGAAGTGTCTGTTAAATAATCGGATGATCATCTTATTACAGGCTAACCCCAAAACAAAATAATCTCTATTTTGAGATTTCTATGCTTCTTAATATCATCACATTCATAATTTGGGGAATACTTTTACCTGGTGGACATCATTGACAGGGATATGAAAAGTGCTATTCGAAAATATAAAATGCTCCTCTGGTTTTCCAGGGGACTTATATGAACTCGAGGCAAGATATAGAGTGCCACTCCCCTTGAGAACAACAAAAACTTCTTCACACGAGTGCCGATGGATCGGTGTGCGTGACCCCGGTGCAAATGTTTGAAGCCAAACCTCAACCTAAGAAGACATCCGAATTCCGAAAAAATTATCACATCCATAATCCTACCACAGAAGGAAAATCAACATCTTCTATTCGCTTACTACATGAAATGAAAAACATACAGCCATTTCTGAAATTTCTAAAAAAACTAAGCCAATTTATATCATAAACTTAAAAGAACATCAAAAACCAAAGTGTAAGCAATCAACATACTTCTTTCAATCCATGCAAGAGTGAACCGGAAACAGTTATATGGGATAGACCTCCTCTTCCATAGTTATCCTGTGGAAGTTCAGCAATGTTCCTCACCAGAGGCAACCCTGTATAGAAAAAACAATATGATTTCACACGAAATCAGCCATTAAAGAAAAGCATGGAAAAGAAAACTGAAGAATTCCTGGTAATCATCTTAAATAACTCGCCTAGCATCCAATTAATAAATCAATCAAATATAGCCCATAAAAGGCCAATAAACTGCTGCAACTGCAACCTCCAGTCCTCCACTATGGTGCAAACTAAGACATCCCAGAATGAAAACTCGGAAAATTGGTGAAAGATCGAATCATTAAAACATACCCAGAAATCAAATTGAGTGGAAAATGTTACCTTTGATGGAGCAGTGAGAAGCTTCGAGAGTTTGAAAGAGTGGAACCAAGTTTAACAAAAGGAAGAAGGAAATGAAGCAAGGTCCAACCATCTTCTCTTGTTTGCTTTCTGGTTGAAGCCTGGATTTGGTCTTTTATTTCTCCATTAAAAGAAGTAAAAATGAACTTATCTAAGGACCCAAACCCCAAAGAGTATTTCAATTGGGCCATAAACTATTTTTGCCATGTTGTCACTACCCGTTAGATCCTTTTCATTTCACTATAGATTAGAAAAAAAACTGTGTTTATATGCATTAATATTTGTTTATGTTTATTTGTGTTCGTTTTTTTATTTTAACAAACGAACATGAATGAACACGAATAAATTATATTTCTTAACGAACAAATACGAATAAAATATTTATTTATTAAATTATTGTGTTTGTTCGATTAAACTTAAACGGATGAACATGAACATAATGTCATTCATGTTCGTTTGGTTCGTGTTGGTGGTCAAAATACAAAATATGAATTAACACTAATAATGTTTTTGTCAAAAAAAATAATTAACTAAGTACCAAAATAGGAGAGGAGATAAATTGGTGTCTAATTATGTAGTTTACCCTTTATAATATTTCTTCAGCTTCTCTTTAAATTCTATCTTCACTTGGTCTACTGTCGCCGGCCGCCGCATCCAAATTTTACTCCACAGATATCATCTTCAAACTCTCATTGCCCTTCTCTTTTCACGCTATCAGATTGGGTTTTCAACAAAATCCCTTAAGACCTTAGATCTAAGGCCAAAGTTGCAGCTTTCACCTCACTAAAAGCTCCATTTCCGCCAGTCCAAACGAAATCCAGTCGTAGTATGTTGTTTTTCTTCCCTTACTCTCTCTTTATATAACACGAGCACAGAAATAGCTTAAAATCGTTTGAGACAGAGTCTCTCTAAGTTTTTTTTTAATTGAAGCTCGTTTCAGTGGGTAATTTTGTATCATGTATTTATCTGCTTTGTTTTCCTCAGTATGAGGATAAATTTTATTTTCTTATTTGAATCCTATTGTATATAGTTAAACTTCTTGTTGTTGATAGTTCATGGTTGTTCATTAGCGTATTTGTTAATGGCTGTTCATTTGCGTATTTGTTAATGGCTGTTCATCGGAGTATTGTATGATGTAATTTGCATTGGAGTTAAACTGTGTTATCAGTTTGATTTCCATTTCCAGTAGCAGCTTCTTCTTTTGAAGAACAAATTTTGATTGAATTTTCCCTTGTTCATACAGGATTTGTTGAGAGAGAGAGAGTCAACTTGAGAGCACATTAGATTGTTTCTTATTGTTTGTTCATAAGATGAATGAAAAGAATGATAGTGATGGTGGTGTTGCTTTCAAAGTAGGGACTTGTTCTATCTCACCTCATGACAAAGGTGGTAAGAACAAGAGAAAATTAGATGATCATTCTTTAGAGTGTCCGGTTATTCTTCCTTTGTCGACGAGTGAATTAGCTCCGGAGATATTTCGAGGCCCTATACTTGGACCATTTGAGGTAGGATCCTCCGTGGGACCCCTTAGAGAAGATTTTGTACCTGCTGATTGGGATGATTCGGTTGCTTGTCAGCTCGAGGAGTTACTGTTATCTAATTTGCACATGATTTTCCGGAATGCGATTAAAAAGATTGTGGAGTGTGGGTTTAAGGAGGAGGTCGCGCAAAAGGCTATTTCAAGGCACCCGCTCTATCAAGGGGGTAAAAATCTTGTGTCAAATGTTGTGAATGATGCTTTGGCTTCCTTGAAGGAAGGGATAGAAGGTGATATTTCGAGTTATTTGTTTGAGGATTTGCAGCAGCTAGTGGTGTATACGATGCTGGAGATGATTAGTGTGCTTAGAGAGGTTCAACCATGTCTATCTATTGTGGAAGCAATGTGGTGGTTGTTAGTGTTTGATCTTAACATTTCGGTTGCATGTGAAGTAGAAGGAGATATATTGCGAAATTTAGGTTGTATGGAAGTCTCAGGAGAGAGCTCCTCTGATTCTAACCCTAAGTCAAGATCTGAAACAGCAAATCCTGAAACCGTTATTCCTATCACGAATGAGCCCAGTGTTACAAAACCATCATTCTCCTCTCAGAATTCCCAGCCTGAAGCACTCAAATTTGGAAGTTTCTACAACTTATCTAAACCCGAAACTTTTCATGCTTCTGAAGGGCTGACACCAGAGAAAGAGTTTTTGGCCTCTACGAGTGCTTCTAGAGATAATGTCTCGATTACATCGATCTCTAAAGAAAAAGCAGTGAGTAGTAGAAAGGGGTGCTTCAAAAAGGAACTAACTGCACTACGGCAAAAGTCCAACATGGAAATTAGCAGGACAGCTTATTTGAAAGGTTTTAGAGCTGCGAAACTAGCTGCCTCTGGGAGTGTTGTTGAAAGGAGAATGAAGTCCCTATCTGATTTACCAGCTGTGCATATGAAAATTCCGTCATCAAAAGTAGTTATGGAGGCCGGAGGTTTAGCTGATGAAAGTCATCACTTTTCAACTAATGCTTCACCTGATTTAATTGTGGCAGATGACTCTTCAACATTGTTGACTAAGGGTACTAAATCTGTAGTTCCAACCACAAATACTGGGTGCGCACCTTCATTATCTTTGGAAAATAAACCTGTTTCAAAGTCTGAAGGAGGAACTTCAATATCTTCCAAGACACCTGAACACTGTGTAGAAAAGAAAGCTACTCCGAAGGCCAAAGGCAGCTCTTCTATGTCTTCTAAGACCATTGATTACCATGCTGGAATTCCGTACAATGATTCTCTAGGAAAATACATCCCGCAAGATGAGAAGGATGATATGATTTTGAAGCTTGTTCCAAGGCTAGAGGAACTGCGGAATGAAGTAGATAGTTGGACTCAGTGGACCAATCAGAAGGTCATGCAAGCTGCCCGCAGGCTTAGCAAGGATCAAGCCGAACTTAAATCACTGAGGCAAGAGAAGGAAGAAGCAGAGCAGCTCAAAAGGGAAAAGCAAATCATGGAGGAGAACACCATGAAGAGGTTGTCGGAGATGGGGTTTGCCTTGAACAACACAATTGGTCAGGTTGAGGACACTAATTCTACTGTTCAGAAGCTTGAGGTGGAACATTCCATGCTGAAGATGCAGATGGAGGCCGCTAAATCACAGGCTACAGCATCAGCTGCAAGTTGTCAAGAAGCATTGGAGAGAGAACAGAAGGCACTCAAGGATGTTCAGTCATGGGAAGGACAGAGAAGCTTGCTTCAGGAGGAGCTTGCATTGGAGAAGCAGATGGCAGCAGATCTGCAATGGAAAGTAGGCAAGGCTAAAATTATCTACAGCCAAATTGAGGTATGATTCGCCTTGAATAAGATACTCATTGACTTGCTAAATAACCCTTAATCAATATATAGTTTACGTTTGCCTTGTCATAAACATTCCATCTTCATTTATAGCTTGATGCATGAAGAGGCACAGAGAAGTGCACTTAGCTGTTTATACCCTTATATAGATTACTTCTATTTACACTTTATTTTTCTCATGAGATATGGTGAAAAGTTGCAGATGACATGGAAAGAGGAGAGGATGGAAAAGGAGAAAGTCCTTGCACAAGCTGCCTCCATACAAAAGGAAAGAGAACGTCTTGAAGCTGCAGCAAAAGTGGAGGAGGATAAGATTAAACTGAAAGCAGAAAAAGATATGCAGAAATACGGGGAGGAGATAAAAACGCTTGTGGCCAAGTTATCTGAGTTGAAGATGAAGCTGGATTCATCGAAAATAGCTGCACTTCGAGGAGGCATTGGTGGTGGCAATATCCAGTGCTCTTCTGTCAATGAGTTGAATCACATTCCAAGCTTCTCTAAGAGGGTGGTTGACATCAAGGATTATTCTGGGAGAAAAAGTTTGAAACAGGAGCGTGAGTGCGTCATGTGCTTATCAGAAGAGAAGATAGTGGTATTCCTTCCATGTTGTCATCAGGTCCTATGTGTCAAATGCAATGAGATCCACGAGAAACAACGGATGGACTGCCCCGCCTGTAGGACCATGATCGATTGCCGCATATGTGCACGTTTTGCTAAGCCACAGGCTATGGCTCTCTGATCCTTTTTGCTTGACTAAGACATGTGAGTTAATGGCGGATAGATTAAAAGGAGCTCTGAGAAGTGCCCTCAAACTTGTGCCTTTTGTTTTGCTTTAGCCCCTTTTGAATAGTTTATACCAGTAGCTCAACAGTATGAAAACGATTAAAGAGAAAATTTATAGCTTACAGCCCTCTAATATACTTTGTTCTTTTTCATATAAATGATATAATATATGGTTTAGCTTTACATTACAGCATCAAGTGTTCCTTAATTTTTAACTCTTAGACTTCAAACATAATTTTTAACAAAGAATTCATGGACTAAATTGAAATTTTCTAACATCTCATTGGCAATTCATCTTATAGGAAAAAGATAACAAAGCTTGATATATATTTGAAATATTTCTCAGTAGCTTTCAATTGTATAAAGAGATGCTGCCATCTCCTCCATTCTTTATTACTCCAAATGTAGCATCCATTTTTGTTTGATTTTGAAAGCATCAGCAGACAGCAAGTGAGCATCCCGAATCTCTCGAAAAATATTCTGCTTCATTTTCTTGATTCTCTATGCATTAATGGCTGCCTGAATTTGTTCCAAGGTCTTCTCTTTTGTTTCAGGTACCAATGTGACCACGAACAGTATTGCCACCGCATTGATTGCAGCATAAAGAATGAAGGTACCTGCAATGAGAATCCACGAGAGTTGCCGGTAAAGTCGCACATTTTTTTTACTTCTTACTGGCAAAGTTTTCACTCTATTTACCATGGGAGCTCCAGCTCATAAGGAAGTTGAAAGTGTAAGAAACTGCCCATGCACCGAACCAGTTCGCCAGCGTCACGAGGCTTCCGGCCGCTCCTTTGATATTTATCGGGAATATCTGCAACCAAATGCAATGGTTAGAGGAGCTGAAGGATTGATACGTCGATTAGAAAATGGTTAAAATCTTGCATACATTTCTTTTTTGGTTACCTCAGACATTATAACCCAAGGAAATGTACCCATCCCAGCTGAAAAGGCACTTATGTATACCTGATGTCAATTAAGATTCATGCAAGAAATAACATAGAAGAACTTGTAAGCCATAGTTTGACAACGAACAGATCGAATGAGCATACGATTCAATTAAGTTACTAATATGCCTGTTACAGCAAGAATAGGAACTGCATTGAGTGCTAAATTATGATCCTGGTCGTCAAACATAATCGAAATGTTAGTAATTAGAGGGAAGTATATATTGTTAGAGATAATAGTTTGATATTTTGACCTTAAGATAGAATGAAATCCCATATGGTATACAGCCGAGAATCAATCCTGTTGAAGAAACCTAAAATGAAAGCAAAAGCAAATTGGCTCAGCAATTTTAAGGATCTTGCAACTGTTAAATTGTTCTTGTACTTATCAGTAATAGAGGCTTTCTTCCTGATCTATCGATCACAGTTGTGTTAAGGCCGGTGATGACAACCTGCAGAAACGATAGTTTTATGTTATTTGTTTGCTAGGAAGAAGTGCATGGCTTTCAAGAGAAGGGAGAGATGAAACCTGAAGAATAGCATAAGTTATTGTCCCAACAGTGGCAGAAGATCCTGAGACATTTCAAGTACAAAAAAAGCAGCAATGTTAATAATAGACAAGACTCTTAAATGTGTCGGGCTGCAACTCGAAGGTTCCGTTACCTGCCGACTCGAAAATATTGCTGGTATAAAAGCAGATGCCATTGATCCCTCCGAATTGTTGAAAGACCATTAATCCAACTCCTATCTGATCAAAGATAAATACGTCGTAAAGAAACATTAAAGAAGATTGATCTGATTGTTCAACCGGGTTTAGATAGAGTGATAGCTACAATGACTGAGCGTAAGTATCTTCGCTGAAACAAATCGAGCATTTTTGGCTTTCGGAAGCCGTTCAAGAGTCTATATAGTCCTGTCAAGCAATAGAATAAGTTAGAACATTTCCTCTATAATGCTTCAAGTCTATCTCAATTTCACTCTTGGTTAAGATGATAAGTTTAGATTAAGAACCCGAATCTCAGCAGCCTCTTTCGATATATCAGCATCCTTGCCACGAAGATCTTGTAGTGCAGCTTCGAATTCTTTTTCTCTTCCAATCTTTGCCTGCATAATATCTAAGGTTTTAATCCAACTCCCCTTTAGTGTTACTATACTTCAGGGTTAAAAGAGCCAAGGATTCCAATCCCATCGGCTTTTCAGTGTCGATTTCTTACCAGCCATCTGGGAGACTCTGGGATGAAAAAGAGTCCAAAGAGATGAATTGCATAAGGAATAAGTCCTGCAAATCACTCTATTTGTGAATCTCAGCTTGTGTTATGTAGCTTTACAAGAACACTCAAACTTAAGCATGGTTTCGGCATAAGAATGTTGGCTTAGCACTTTTATCTGTTAGTGCTAAAGTCCTCCATTTTAGAACTGTCCCAAATATGAAGGCAACGGATACTCCGGAGCAGATCATAAGCTGTAGAATAAGATTCGAAATAATAAGATATTTACGTTCACAAATTCAGTAAGTGATGATGATACTGAGTGCTGCACTTGGTTACCTGATTTACTGTCGTTAGTGCTCCTCGAAGATTCTTGGGTGCGATTTCAGCGATAAATAACGGTACCTTGTCATACATTCAATGAAGGCATCACGGTCGATAGGAACAGGTAATTGTAGAAGTACCATTTATCGAAGAAGCAGTTCGAAAGTGAAATCCTAGATGAGATAGGGACTCACCAGTCACCACATATGAGAAGACTCCCATTCCATATCCTGTTGCCAGTCTTCCAATGTCCAAAACCAAAGCTCCCCTTCGTGTTCAATCAAGAGAGTAAAATGGATTATTAAGTCAAAGTTCTGCATAATTGTCTCAGGTTAATCTGCAGCTTAAGCAATGGTGAATTTATGGGTGGGGAACTAAAAACCTGAGCGAAGTATATAGCAAGCCACCATTGACCGAAGGTGGGGTGAAAGGGAACGTGAGGAGAAGAAGATGAAGATGGGGGGAAAGGGTTAACCGTCAGTGAAAAACTAAAAGGAGATAACGACATGAACCTTAATGAAAATAACTAAAAATTCGATGATTGTATTGCAATTTTTAAAAGTTAGATGACCAAAATACAAGTACCCTTAAAGTTCAGGTACTATTTATATTCTTTACCCTAAAAACTAAACATCAGATATGATTTTGAAAAAATTGAAAGTTTAGATACTAAAATAGATAAAACTGATAGTTTAAGTACTAAACAAGCAATTTACGCAAAGAAATATTACAGTCTAGATTTTAGTAAACAACTTTGTCTGGGAGAGTGGGGTTAGTTTAAAATAGAGAACGAAGCACCGAACGAGGAAAATCAATCCACCCGTTGTCCTTGTTTATTATTACAGATAATTTTTGTTAACGTTACAGTCTAAAAACAGTAAAGAATTTATATTAATCACATTTGGTAAGTCGATTAATTCCGACTTTCCTTAACCTCCTCAAAAACTGCTATATATATTTTGATTTTCATAAGCCATGGGGCGTCAATTTGAGCTTCCTCTGTTGTTCTTTGGCCCGTAATTCAAAGCTATTAAACAAAGCTCCTTCCTTTCTTTCAAAGAAACAGGGAAGCCGCCATGGATATTGTCAATCAGTTGCAGAGACAGTTCATTGACCACTCCACATCACTGCATCGCGAGGTACAATTTCTCTTCTTTTATGTTCTTTTGATTCGTTGATTGGTAGATTTTCACCGACAGATTTGATTTTTTTCAACGGAAGGGTGGAAGTATTTCTGGGAAATTGTTTGTTTTAAGGGGAAATGTCAAATCCAGTGGGGTCTTGTCGGATTTGTTTTCCCTGGAAAAAAAAAACAAAAAGGAAAAGTTTGGGTTTTTGTTCTTTCTTATTGTTGTCCCATCGTTTTTGTTCAGGGAATTGTGGATGATCAGTTTACTGAACTCCAAAAGCTGCAAGATGAAAACAGCCCAGATTTTGTCGTCGAGGTTGTCTCTCTTTTCTTTGAAGATTCTGAGAAGCTTCTTAACAATATGGCCAGAGCACTGTGAGTTCATCTTCTTCTTCCTTCCTGTGCTGAATGTTCTCTTTTTTCTGATCTAATTTTCGTGGTTTTTACTTCAGTGAGCAAGCACAAGGTGTTGATTTCAAGCAAGTAGATGCCAGTGTTCATCAGCTTAAGGGCAGCAGTTCCAGGTAATTATATGCACGTCTGCTTTTGATTTTTCATATTCATTTTGTTGTTTTTCAATTGTGATTGTTCAATCTGAATGCCTGGGAAAATCAAATTGTTGTTTCACTGCTTCATGTGGAGAGTTGGATTTGTATTTTCTATGTATGTGCCAAAATTTCTTATGTGTTTATGTCTTTGTGGTAACAGCATAGGTGCAATGAGAGTTAAGAATGCATGCATCGCCTTTCGGAGCTTTTGCGAGGCGCAAAACCGTGAAGGGTGAGTTATCGAACTCGAAATTTCTCGACGGTCATGCCCCGGCATGTGTGTTGCTTTGATATACTTAAACAAGTTCACTTCCATCATAGATTGTTAAGTTCTTTATGATTGTTTAACGGATTAAAATTGAGCTCAACGAGTCCTTTTTTCGTTTCCTGTTGTTATTGCTTGTTGGTCACGCTTTTCATTCTGTGATATGTGACAAAGATGACTCTGGATGCCTGCAACAGGTGTTTGAGATGCCTGCAAAAGGTCACTCATGAATACTCCCTACTGAAGAACAAGCTTCAATCCTTATTCAGGGTAAGATAGAATCTACGAATAGACTATATTTCACCGTGAAAATGAGCATACGTGCTCGTTTGTTTCGTATCGAGTTCATCTGTTTCTCCCCCCAGCTGTAGTTTTAACCGGAGCCATTCTGTTTCAATCTTTCAGCTTGAGCAACAGATCCTTGCAGCTGGTGGATCGATCCCGGTAGCGAAATAAACAACATTTATATCATCGTCGTAGAAAAACAAAGGGAGAATGAACGGCCGTCGCCGCCGATACCTTTTCTTTACGAAGTCGATGTTAAATTATCAAGGGATTTTACATAAACTTGTGTCTAAAACCCGTATGAGGTAAGAATAATGTGTGAGCCTGTGAATACACATTTTTCAAGCTTTGTGCTGCGTAAGCTTATATATGATTAAGTTCTCTTTGTCGTTCAATGTTTGAGCATTTCCATGTTACTTTGATCAAACGCCGGAAGATGTCACCAGTAATCGAAATAAATTTACAGATCGGAATTCAGTTCGATCGGTTGGTTTTATAACCACCTTCAAGAGACGATTCCTTGTACGTTTACGATTCGAATCTTGATATCCGTAACCCCTTTCTCCGATGGCAGCTGTTCTCGAACACGACCGTAGAGTTTAAACCCTGTCTTCTTGTTATCCAAACATCATTAAATGTTTCACTTTTATAATTCCATGATGGAAAATGGAATGCACATGATGATCGATGTTGCTGGGTTTCTTTGTTGTTACTTGTGGCGCATTCCATTTCTATGCACGCATCTCCATTGCTACATTAAAGCAAACCTTGGGGACCAAGAAAATCCCATATGAAGTCTTAGGTTTGTGGTGAATCATTTTTATGATTTTTTTAATTAATTTTTTAAAATATTATATAAATTATAGGGCAAGTTACGTGTTTAGTATCTGAACTATCAATTTTGGTCCGTTTTAGTACCTAATCTTTTAACTTTTTTTAAAATCATACCTAGAGTTTAGTTTTTGTTTTATTTTGGTACCCCAATTCAAAATTTAACGTTTAGTTTTGGAAAAAAATTAAAAGTTTAAGTACTAAAAGGGGACCAAAATTGATAGTTTAGGTGTTAAACACGTTAAGTTTTTAACTGTGGGGTACAAAAATGAAATAAAAACTAAATTTTAGGTATGATTTTGAAAAAAAAATAAAAATTTAAATGCTACAAAAATATCAAAATTGATAGTTCAGATAGATACTAAATGCTTTTTTACCCTAAATTATATTATAATTTTAAAAGTAGTATGATAACTCGAGATATCTTGAAACTCTTTTAAAGATAAAAGTAAATAAAGGTAAATTACACATTTAGTACCTAAACGATTAAATTTTCAAAAATATATCTAGAGTTTAGTTCTTGTTTCATTTTAATACCCTGTTCTAAATTTAATGTTAAGTTTTGAAAAAATTGAATCTCTAGGTATTAAAACAGATCAAAACTGATAATTTAGGTGCTAAACGTGTTAAACTTTTAACGACAGTTATTAAAATAAAATAAAAACTAAATATTATGTATAATTTTAAAAAAATTAAAAATTTAAATACTAAAATAAATCAAAATTATTAATTTAAGTATGAAATGCGTAACTTACCCATTGTTTTCTTACTCTCTTGCGTTTCTACTTTCTAGCTTCCCATGTTTAATTAGGTTTGATTAATTTGATGAAAATACAGGAATTTATTGATGACGTGTCATATCCTAGCTGGACAGTGTCACCCTATGTCCAGTCAACCCGCATTAGTTACGTGATCCCTGCCCCGATCACCCACCCTCCCCTACCTGCTGACCTGTCTCCCGAACCTAACCCCTCCCCTCCCATGTAGGTTTGGACAACCGTTTAACCTATAAATCCAGCCCTAATAAAAAAACATTAACAATAATAACAAAGAGGGAAAATTAATAAAATAATTATAAAAAAAATGACATTTCCGGTGTCATTCGTCAGTGTTAAAACTAGAAAGTCTGCCGTCAACGCTGCTCCATGCGTCTTCTCTAAGATGTCATTATCTCAAATATCATCCACCATTGCTTCTTCTTCAAGCCAGTCTTTGTTTTTTTTCTTCTTCATTGTATAAATATAATGTTTGACGCTGCTAGTTTCGCCATTAAAGGCTTTCACGTTTGTATCCCCATGAGAAACCGGTAGTCTCCTCTCACGAAAAAGTTTCATTTTGGCAACTCAAAAGCCTTACCTTTTTCTTATTTTATAACACCTCTGCTTCACTGGGGAATTCAGGGTCTTCTTTGATTCGTCGATTCAATGGCTAAACAATGGGGGATGAAGGTGGGTTCTTGTGCTCTGTTCTTGACTGCTCTGTTACAATGTAGATTCTTGAGTTTTGCGATTTTAGACCCGGTTGATTTCTTGGCTTTGCAGTCCATTAGAAAGTCTCTTCATGATTTGCCCGGCTCTAATTTTTTGGCTTCCTGGGATTTTACTTCCGATCCTTGTAACTTCGCCGGCGTTTACTGTGAGTCCAATAGAGTAGTGGCTCTTAATCTCGGTGATCCACGGGCTGGTTCGCCGGGTTTAACCGGGAGGATAGATTCGGCCATTGGGAAACTGTCTGCTCTCGTCGAGCTATCCATTGTTCCGGGTCGGATCTATGGTTCGTTGCCGGTGTCGATCTCGCAATTAAAGGGCCTTCGTTTTCTTGCTATAAGCAGGAATTTCATCTCCGGGAATATTCCAGCAACTCTGGGTCAACTGAGGCGGCTTAAAACTCTTGATCTCAGCTACAATCAGCTCGTCGGAGGAATCCCTCGTTCCATCGGAACATTGCCGGAGCTCACCAACGCTATTCTTTGTCACAACCATCTCTCCGGTTCAGTCCCACCGTTTCGTTCCCAAGTCCTAAACCGGCTAGACCTTAAACACAATGCTCTCTCCGGCTCGCTAGCTCCGAACTCCCTCCCCGCTTCCCTTCAGTCCCTCTCACTCTCCTGGAACCAGCTCACCGGACCGGTGGACAAGCTTCTATCCCGGCTGAACAAGCTAAACTACCTAGACCTAAGCTTGAACCGATTCACGGGTCCCATCCCAGGCCGTTTGTTCTCGTTTACAATCACCAACCTTCAGCTGGAACGGAACTTGTTCTCCGGTCCAGTCCAACCCGCCAATCAAGTAACGATACCGACCGTCGATATCAGCCACAACAGATTGTCCGGTCACATATCACCGATGTTCTCCACCGTACAAAACCTTTACTTGAACAACAACCTGTTCACCGGTAAGGTCCCGGCCAGCTTCGTGGACCGGTTATTATCGGCCAGCATACGGATACTTTATCTGCAGCATAACTATCTGACCGGAATCGAGATTAATCCGACGGCGGAGATTCCTCTGAGGAGTTCGATATGCTTACAGTATAATTGCATGGTGCCGCCCGTTCAGACGGCGTGCCCATTGAAGGCGGGTAAAGAGAAGACCAGGCCTTCTTCCCAGTGCAACCAAAGGAAAGGATAGGATTGGTAATTTCCACGATCTTCCCAAGGGTACTTTTGGAAAAAAAATCGGATTATAGGATACACCTATTTTTATTTTGTGGGTAAGGATGGAAATAAAGTGAATTAGTTCATTAGAATTTTAACCTTTAAATTTAGATAAATTATATTAAAAATATTTAAGGTTAATTTTAAACGAATATTGATAACCACTGCGCATCTTATAATTATAATTAAAAATAATATTTTCTTTTATCATGTTCAATAAATATAGGATAAATTACACATTTAATATCTAAACTATAAGTTTTAGTTCGATTAAATATTTAAACTTTTAATTTTTTCAGAATCATATATAATATTTAGTTTTATTTCATTTTAGTATCCTACTATAAAAAACTTAACACGTCTAGTACCTAAACTATCTATTTTAGTACTTAAACTTTTATTTAAAAAAAAACTTAACGTTAAATTTTGAACATAAGTACTAAAGTGAAACTAAAACTAAACTTTATGTATGATTTTGAGAAAAACTAAAACTAAACTTTATGTATGATTTTGAGAAAAACTGAAAGTTTAAATATTAAAACAAATTAAAATTAATAATTTAAGTACTAAATGCGTGAATTACCCATTGATATAACTAGAATGAAGGAAAGTGGGTAGAAATAAAGGTACAACTAAAACAAAGGGGTTAAACAGTTGTTGCAGCTTTCCATTTGCACGAGCTTGGCGAAAACGAAAACACAAGAATCATATAAATCATGCCCGAACATAGATGAAATACATATCATCATCGTCATCGGCATCGGCATCGGCATTGGCATTGGCATCGGCATTGGCAATGGAAGTTGGGTCCAGCCTAGCAGCACCAATGAACTTTGTATTTGCAGCTCTACTTTTCACAACACCTCGCAATATCATACTCTTGGAGTTTTCCTTTACTGCCCATATAGTTTCAAAAACACCACCATTGTATGGAGTCCAAGTGTTTCATTCACCCTAGGGATGGTGATTTCACCATCATCTGATGGATTCCGATCCGACACGATCGAGTTAGATTTTTCTAAAAAGAATTTAGGGTTCGAGTCGGGTCGAGTTCGAATGGAAGGTAAAAAAACTTTGACCTAACCTGACCCAAGGATAATAATGTAACTTTCTTAAAATTATTATTATTTTAATTAAATCTTTAATTTATATCGGATCACGTCAGGTCAAGTCAATTTTATATATATAAAAAATCAAATCAAGTTCGAGTGAAAGTGCATATTTTCATATTGGATCTGATTGATTAAAAACCCGACTCTAACCCAACCTTATTACGTCCGTGACCATGCATTTGCCTAAAAATAATAATCCAATGCCTCTATTCTTTTAAGACCTTCTCCATGTCCAAATATTCTCAATAATACGAGAGATAATATTACATTTAGAAAATTTTAGTTCTAAATATAATTTTACATATTATGCAATAATACATTAGAGGTCTATGCATGGATGACCTAGGCAGGGCAGGTCGAGGTGATCCCCTCTTAAAAACATAAAATTATCATATATTTTGGATTTTTTTATGTATTTTCTATTGAAATTCTATTTTCACCCTCTTAAAATTTTATTCAACCCCTGACATTTTATAAGTTGAAGTTCGCCCCCTAACATAAAATTTTGCGTCCGTCCCTGGGTTTGTGTACTTTTGAAGAGAAAAAAACTAATGTGATACTTGTATAAATTTTCTCTTAATGTGACCCTCCTATTAAAAAACCTAATTTGACCCTTTGATCAACGTTTTTCGTCGTTGACTGTTACGATGCTAACGTGGCAGTCTACGGTACTGACATAGCGGTCCATCTACTATGTTTGAACTATTAATTTAGCCCATCTGTCATGTTATCAACCATCGTATACTACCACATCAGCACCATGGACCGCCATGTCAACACCGTGAACAGTCACATTAGCACCGTAACGGTCAACGACGAAAAAATTGGCCAAAGGACCACATCAAATTTATTTTTTGAGTTGAATGGTAGCATTAATAGAAAAAAAATAATATAAAGGTATTATTATTTTTATTATTTGTTTTAAGTACAAAAACCTATGATATATTTTTGTCTATATTTTATAATAAACAAACCGCAGAAGAAGTCCAGTATTTACTCCAACAAACTTAGCTATTATTAATATAAGAACAGAAATGGTCCTAATAGGTTACTTATGCATTTGTCCTCTTAATAATGAGAATCAACAAAACAAAACAAGAACAATTAGGTTTGGATAACATTTATAATAATATTACAGTTTATAGGCACATGGAGTGTAGCAAATATTAGCATCAAAATCCTACCTTCGTGTTATTAATTAAAAAATATTTAAATTTATTTATACAATATAAAATTATTACATTTAAATAAAAATTTATATAAAAAAATCGAATCTAACCCAATTCAAGTACACTTATAATGTGTCTTTCTTGACCCACTTCATCCTACTACTACCCTCTCTTATCATTTTGCTTTCAATTCTTTTCCATGTGATTTGGGACAAATGAGGCCTAATTTTGCCTCCTAGAGATGGTTTCATGTGCATGATAATATTAGAAATAAAAAATGGAAATACACTGTAAAAAAATTAGGGTAAATTACAAAATTCATCTATGAACTTTAAAAGTTTTTTATTTTCTCATTGAACTTAATACATTAGGGGTTTTTTGTCATTGAACTTTATTTTCTCTCCTATTTCAATCATTCCGTCGTTAAATAGTTAACGGCGTAAAAACGACGCCGTTTGGAAAAAAAAATAATTTTTTCAGTGAAACGACATCATTTTGTATCTATATAACAACTCATTTTAACGCCGTTAACTATTTAACAGTTGAGTAACGAAAAAACCTAATTTATTAAGTTTAATGAAAAAATTGAAAAGATTTAAAGTACAATGAATGAAATAGGAGAAATAGTAAATTAAAGTTACCAGATTTGTAATTTACCCAAAAGATTATAGTATGACATTAGGTAGGTGCTGGGCCATCACATTTATTTACCCAAAAAAATTGAAATTTTGGGCATATAAACAGTGGGAGTTGGTGCATGACATTTCAATTCAACTAATCATTTTTTCCATAAAATTATTATAACACTTTGAAATTTTTAGATTTTTCGTATTTGAAAATAGAGATAGAGTGAAAATTAAATATTGGCATCGATCCAAATATTAAAAATTTTAATAAAAAATATAATATTTTATTAGGTATTTAAATTTAAGCACGAACCAAACGATTTCGATGATAAAGTAATTGTTATTATTCTTTGAGGTCTCGGGTTCGAGTACTATAAATGTTGGGGTGTAAGTATTTAATGTTAAATAGTTAAGAGTTATCTTTGAATGAATAGTAACTTGTATTCATCATAGATTAATAAAAAAAAAACTTAAAATTCAGTAATACAATACTTAATTTGTCTAATATTTAAGCTTACAATGACCTAAATTGTTATTAGCCTAAAAAATTTGAGAATATGAGATTATTTTTTTTTATTTCGACCATTCCTTAATTAAATATTTAATAAATATTTGTATTTTTTTAAATTTAAATACTTACTTTTATATAATTAAAATATTATTAAATAAAAATCTATCGAATATATAAATTTTTTACAGACATCAAGACCTTTAAGCCGCATCAGAGCTCCGCCTCTACTTGAAAACATTGATTTTTTCAATCTAGATTGCTCAGAACAATGTTGAACTGCCCATAGTAGTGGCACTCATATTCTTTGTTCCCTAGTAATAATTATGGTGTTTTGGGGAGCAATTATTAAGTACAAGGAGCTCTGCTGATTATGGTATTATCCATCAATCTGCCTAAGTAGGAGCAAATTTATTTTTATATTTTTTAATTATTCCTCATTTAATCACTATGACTTTCAAATTTATTTTTTAAATTTTTAATTATATATTAATAAAATAATAAAAAATGTCATGTCACAAAAATTATTAATAAAATAAATTAGAGGGATTAAAATAAGAATAATTTGAAAGTTGAGTAGTTAAATTGAAATTTTTTAAACTTTAGTTTCAAAATATGAGTGAGAAGATAGTTGAGTGATGATTGATGTAATTTACCCATAAAAGATGTAGTGCCGTTAAGTTTTTAGTGTCGATGTATTAAAATGAAACAAAAACTAAACATTAACTATGATTTTAAAAATATTAAAAGTTTAGTCACTAAAACATGCCATTGGAGAGTGTGGGGGTTGAGCTGACTTTAGCTTATATCCAAGAAGTTATATATTTAAAATTGAATTTAATGAACTAATTTGGTTACATTGGAACCCATAAATAACTTAATATTCATATACCAAGAGAAGAATGATGAGGCATTGTTTTCCAAGGAACTAAAAGTTAAAACCACATGTGCCCATCAAGCATTGAGGAATTCCCCTACGCATGGTTCAATCCACCGTCCAAGGTTTAGGGTTTCATACTTGTTAAAAAAGGGTTTAGGGTTTCATGCGTTTCTCATACGCTGATTGGATAGCACATGGTAGTAAAGAAAGAAGAGATGGGGTATCAACTTTTTTCCATGGTGTTCTTTTTTATACAATTGTGGTTTCTTTATGTTGTATAAAGCCTTGGTTCTGTCAGGTACTAAACCCTGAAAATCTTGGGAACAAGTGGTTTGGTACTATTGGTAGGCCATCTTTCCAAATAACTTAATCCGGAAATTTGATGGTGTTCGATGGTGGTTCACCCTTTCTTATTTGAGTAGAGAGCTATTTGAGGATGTTGATCGATTAGAGATCATCCTTTCTGATTTGAATGGAAGGTAGTTGGATAAAGACGATGATCGAAAGTGAAGTATATGTGAATGAGCCAAACTTAAATGAGAGGAATTGACATTAGTGGGGGAAGCACTTAGATTTAGCCGTTCCTCGGCAGGAGTTTGCATGCATGGAATGTAAGCCACACCCCCCATTGTTTGTTTCCTAAGGACAACCTCAAGAAATTGAGGGGCATACAGCCTTACACCATGAACCAACAAACCAAAACAGCTAGCATTTCACTACGGTTCCATCTTACGCTTTCCTTCTGTCTTTTTACTCGGACTCATAGCTGTAGTCGACCATAATTCTAGAAAAACACAAACCTGTCATCATCGCTGCAGTTAACTCCGATCGAATCTACGCTGCAATGATGCTTGTTTCCACATTGCAGAACCAGCTCTCTGCATTCATTAACATGGTCCAAACGTGTATATATATATATATATTGGATGAGGAACATGAACAAACTTACACGGAGAGTTGTATTGTTTATTTATGTACGGCTAGATTTTTCGTTAAACAATTACACCTTATTCAATACTAATGAAAAATATTGTGTATGTAGTATGATTATAGCTTACAGATGCTACGGAATGTGTTCAAAATAATATTGCGTCCGGACTCTCTTCTTGTTCGTAGAGACCGGTGCTTCGTTACCGGGGAATTCCCACTTAACCAAGCCCCCGTCCCAAGAAGAGCTTACCAACATAGGGTAGCTCGGGTGCCAACTACAATCTCTTACTAGTGATGTATGGTGCTTCAGTACTGCAACTTGGGCTCCGGTTACCTGTAATATATTAACATGTTATTACCCTCGAGAAGACAGAATTTCATTGTATAGCACTCGCCGCCTGTGTTTGGTTTTCACTCGTTGACGGCATATTTATCGGACGGCAACAGACATCTTTAACGAACATTGCAACTATAGTCGATATGTGCAAAACTCAAGTACCAAATTGGATCCAATAAAGAGCATCACAGTAATGTACAGAAAAGGCAACCTAGAGGTAAAGCATATCAATTTTGGTTACTTACCACATAAATATAAACACGAGAATCATGAGATCCGGTGTAAATGTACTTTTGGCCGTGCTGCAACAAAAGATTCGAGAAATCGATGACATGTTAACAAATACTTCAACACAGACAGAGTTAGATGAAGGAGAATATCTTGCTAATTTGATTAATATATAAAGCAAACAGCAAATAAGAGCACTCACCTGTGTTCGGGGGGGGGGGGGGAATAACAGCGAATAAGAGTACGCAAGACCGACCCTTATAAGTTGCCACAGATTGGTCACACGGATGTTTCAAATCTCTGGCCTGTGGTGGGTAGTCCATCCATCTGTAATCCCATTCGTAATTCCTAAACCTTAAATTGCTGCAATAACATATAAAAACGTCTTTTAGCTTTAGCTTCAAACTATCGCCGAAACTCAAATTGATAAATAAATAAAGTTCTGTTAAATAGCATACACACATGGCATATGCATGCAGAGAAAATCTAAACTATGAACTTGGTAAACCGAAGAAAGGCATACCAGGAGGTATTGGAGGACATTTTTCTGATATTCCAAAGCTTCATAGTCTGATCTTTACCATTTGATGTGAAATAACGACCATCTCCACGACTGTCGATAAATGTAATACCTTCTACATCTCCCATCAAGACTCCTGCTGGCTTATCTTTTGCAATGAAGCAACGTCTATCCCACACCTAGCAAAATCAAAAGCGAAAATACAGCATATCTACATCCCACACACACAGAGATTATCGTCACTCCCGGAATATACCAAATTACCACTTTTATCGGCAAAGGCTACTGTGTTAACATCAGCCTGCAAGATGAAATAGGAATCGACTTTAGGTCCCCTGAAAATAAAGCATTTTCTTGCTCATGCAACATTTAGGCGCTTAAATGACAGACATCTAAGGCAAGAGCTAACTTAGATACAACCACAAGTCGACAGAGGCAACTAATACAAGAGAGCAATAATAATACGAGACAAAAAGTATCTGTTCTCCGTTAAAAATTATTCTCGAGGAAGCCAAATGTTCAACTTCCACAAATTTTATTATTAATTCACACATTCAAGTCAGTTCGTGAGGAAGACTTGAATTATAGCAAATGTTTTAGAAGTATCTCAACCATTGACCGGCTAAAGCCGTTAAAAAAATCTATTTTGTTAAGAAATTTGCATTCTTCCCGTATCGATGAGTGTTAGTTTGTAAATGTTAGTTGTCACACCCAAAAATATTGAGGTTTAATTATTGGATGAGTAAGTTAATTTTAGGACTAAAATGAGAGTTTTTGGAAATAATAGGTTAGTTTTCGAGTTCCAAGGAAGTTTGGGGACTTGAATCCTAATTTAACCATTTTCCCTTAGCTTGCAAAAAAATAAAATAAAATGAGTTCTATGAAGATTTGAACCATCGTCTATTAGTATGACCATCCATGCTCCTATCATTAGGCTAGGCTTTCAATAACCCAATCATCTTCTCCAGTAGAAAGTAAAAACCCATACCCATAAACGTTTAAACTTTCTCATCTCCTTTCACCGTTGTTTGGTGGTCGTCTGGTCATCCATGGCATACACAGCCACCAACAAGGTGTTCGTCATCGTCCCGTGACCACAACCGTACCATTCATTAACCGAGAAATCGTCATCGTTTTGTCGTTGCCTGATCATCTTTTAGCGACACTGCCAACACCAAATGAACCGACTCAATGTTATGCTTCATCCGGTACTGGATATGACACCATCATCATTGTCGTTGTGGGGGGTGAGCGACGAATTAGTTCGGCCGTTCGTGTTCTATAATTTCCACCATGCTTCGCATCAGAATAACACCACCAAGAGATTCGTAAGCCGTCGATCTACTAATCTGGAAAGTTTTATCGCCGTCCAACAACCAGCACTGTCGCACGTGCCCCACGCACCATTTCCTGCGCGTGGGGTTGTTTCTATTAGTGTAGAGGTTTCTGGAAATTGGTCGAACCAGTCTGAATTAATTAGATCAGTCGAGCCAAACCGTTTGAGCCGTCGAGCCAAGCTACGCTTAAGATGAGTTGTGAGCCGTTGACTTTTTACTGACTATTGATGGGGTGTTAACTTTTATGGACCACCTATTTAGATATTTTTCGACGTTCTAAATCTAATTTTACGATTCGTTTTTTCAAATTTAAACTCGATAAATTAATTTTAAGCATTTTATCTCCCAATTTAATATATTTTTTTAATTAAGTTATGTTTTTGTCGTAAATTATTTTATCATGTATCCAAGATATTATGAGATGTTAAATAAAAGTTTATGAGTGATTGATGTAGTATAAAGATTGAGGTAATATTTTATTACTTTTATGTATGTTTTTGGAAAACATTAGTGTTGGTTAATGCATGAATGATTATGATTAATCAATTATGTTTAGTTAATTATTTCTAGACTTGAATTGGATACGATATAAGTTAGGAAATAGAATACGACTTAGATGGCTTGCAGAAGAAATTGGAAGACTGATAAGAAATAAAACCAAGTGATGAGTGTTCAGAATTGTTAATCTTTGCTCGTTATTTCTTCGATTTTGAGGATTTATTATTGCTAAATTGGCCGTGTTATGTTTATTTTCGTACAGATCCTTACTTTTCAGAATTAGTGACAAAACGGACGTATTCTGTATTTTTTTTATTATTTGGTCACGGCTGGAGACATGGACACGACTCTGGGCATGACGCGGTCTGACGTGACAGTTTATAGAAGGTACAGTCAACGACGATTTCTAGAAGACTTCCTCCGCATGCCTTCAGGAAGATTGACGATCATAGTTGCATTAGGAGACTAGTTTAAGTTTGAATTTAAATTAAAAAATAATTATCTTTAGGATTATTTTATTTATTTTCTTTGTTTATCCTTTAGGCTTTGAGAGGCTATAAATACTCACTTGGGGTAAGCCTAAACTCATCATTCGGATTACAATCTTCTTTTCTCTTTAGTTTTTATAAAAGTTCTCTTTTTACATTTCAAGTTCTTTTCATTTTTCTTTTATTTTTCAAATTTTGTTTTCAAAATGCTATGACTATTTTCATGCTTAGCTAAACTTTTCATAAGCCGAGAGCTGTCGCGATGACTCAATTCCATCGGGAGAATTGAAATAGACCCTTAATATCTTCGGAATATCTCTCTCAATCTCTACGTTTATTTTTCAAAATCAAAACAGTTTTTAAAATCAAAGATTGACTTTGGTCAAGAGGTTGTTGCGATTAAATGTGTGGGGGGAAGATTCGGCTTATAGAAAGCAATTCGACTTCCTGGGAACACACTTGGCGAGATAGCTTCGCCAAGAGGGAATTGAGATCGGAATCGACGGTTATCGAAGCAACAATCCGAGTCGGACGCCATGAACTTAAACGGTAATTGATCTACGACAATTGATGTTGTTAGAATCAATTACCGGAGCCGGAATCAAAGATTGCCTTGGGTATTCGGTATACAAGATAGAGTCACGAGAATAGCCCTTGTAGACAAAGTAACCGACGTGAATCCCGAAGAGAAAACATTATTCAATGATCATAAGGAAATTGAGTCAAAGCGAAGCTTGAGGCTACTTTTACCGTATTTATTCACAATCTTCATCTTCTTATTTTTACTTTAATTACTTTTAGTTATTTAATCGCTTTTATTATTTTAATATTTTATTACCAAAATTCTCCCATTTTTACTGTTTCACGCCTGCATAAATAAATCAGACATAAATTTATAATTTTCTAAGTCCCTGTGGAATCGACCCTTACTTCTCTTTACTACGTATTTTCTTTATTTATTGATTGAGAATAAGGAATTTATCTTGACATCCAAAATGACAGTTGTCAAATTGGCGTCGTTGCCGATGACTTTGCCAAAGTTACTAATTTTTTGTTTGCTTTTGATTTATGACCAGGTCTAATACGGGAGCATTAGTGGAGTATGACCCAGAGATTGAAGCCAAAGCTAGGAGACTCCACGCACAGACGCTTCAAGAAAGAAGAAGACAATAAGCAAATCCAGAAGAAGAATCGAATTCAGGTAACATAAATCCGATGGTAGATCTTACTATCCGGAAGTTAGCCGCGACACTTACTGAACAAGTGCCTTTGAGCATTGATTTTCCCCAAGGCGAAACTCCGTACCAATTGAAAATTGGCCTTATTCATCTCATCCCTACATTCCGCGGATTGCCAAACGAAGATCCACACAAACATCTCAAGGAATTTCATATGGTCTACTCCAGCATGAGACCACAGGGAGTAACCGAGGACCAAATAAAACTTAGAGTTTTCCTTTTTCCTTAGCCGATTCGGCTAAAGAGTGGTTATTTTTATCTTCCTCCTAATTTTTTTACTACATGGGCTCAAATGACTCTCTTTTTTTCTTGACAGGTTTTTTCCTGCGACGAAAGTAAGTGAACTACGAAGGAGAATACTTGGAACCAAGCAACTTGATGGAGAGTCATTTTACGACTACTGGGAACGGTTTAAGAAGTTATGTTCTAGTTGCCCACAACATGGGTTAACCGAACAAACAATACTTCAATACTTTTATGAAGGATTATCTCCCTTGGAAATGAAGATGGTCGATGCTGCCAGCGGAGGAGCCTTGGTGAATATGACTTCTACTGAGGCTAGAGACTTAATATCGACGATAGCCGTAAATTCCCAACAATTTCGCACAAACAATGAAACTTCTCGAATGGTTCATGAGATAAGTTCATCTTCCTTAGAACATAATATTGACAAGTTAACTGAAGTCATAAACTCTCTTGTTGCAGGAAAGACATGACAAAACCGATTATGTGGAATATGTGCATTACCTGATCATCCAACAGACGGTTGTCCACTGATTCAAGACGACGCAACAGCTCAAGTCAACGTAGTCGGAAACTTTACGGGACCTCCCCAAAGAGGTTATAATCCTTACGGTAATACATACAACCCAGGATTGAGGGATCATCCGAACTTCAGTTATGCTCAGAACCCGAGACTGAACCAAGGCTATCAAGCGAGACCTCCACCACCACAACAACCGCAGAAGTCATCATTAGAATCGATTGTCGAGAGGTTAGCACTATCCCATGAAAAATTCCAAACTCGAACTGAAGCCCACTTCCAAGAGATGGACAAACAGATAAGCCAACTGAATCAAGTCGTAGGGAGATTAGAATCACAAAGGAGACTATCATCACAAACTGAACCGAATCCAATAGAGAATATTAGTGACGTCACCCTCCGAAGCGGTACAATTGTT